AGCCTTCAGAAGGAGCCTGCTGGCATCCAAATGAAGCCCATAATGAATCAAGAGGTTAGCAAGATTAACCAGAGGGATGTCCTGATACTCATGTGGAGCCAAATTAAATGCTTTTTGCAAACAGGTGATGGCAAAGGTGCTATTTCCAACTGCACGCCAGTACAATCCAGCTTCATTAAGCACAAGCCATAGAGGATCTTCTGGCTGTAGGAGAGTGAGGGAAAAGGATGAAAACACCCACAAAGCGGTGTCTTGGGAAGACAGAATTGCCTGCTCTTTGATAAGGTAGTATGCAAGGGCAGGTTTTGTTTCTTGCCAGCTAGATACGAATTACACTTCGCTGTGACTGATAGCAGATCTAGTAGGGTTTGCTCTGCCCTACTCAAACGGACATGACTTACAGTCTGAACTATAATTTAGTAGCAGCTGTTGCTCACTCATCAGACTGCATTATATCATGATCACCAAATCCCTTAAAATATTCAAGTGATAATGTTAACTCACCTCAGGAAGCAACATCTGCAAGCCACTTCAGAGTCTTAAGATTACATTAACACAGACCTATGTACATACGTAGATTTGATGGTTGGGCAGCTTTTAAATTGTAGTTGTGCTTCCAGGTTTTATATCCAACATCAAGATTTCCTGTCCATTTAGGCTTTCAGAATTGTTTTTTCTTAGATTTATTTATTTATTTGTCTTACAAAAGTTGACAAGTGATATGGATCAGATACTTGTATTGGGTTTGTGTGGTGGGTTTTGGTAGCAGGGGAGGGGCCACAGGGGTGGCTCCTGTGAGAAGCTGCCAGAAGCTTCTGCAGTTCCAAGTTGGACACACCTCTGGCCAAGGCGAAGACAGTCAGGGATGGTAGCAGCACCTCTGGGATAACGTATTTAAGAGGGTGAAAAAAATTATTAGAGAACCTACAGCAGAGAGAGGTGTGGGGTGTGAGAGAGACAGCCAGGCAGACACCCAGGTCAGTGTGGAAAGGTGGGGAGGAGGTGGCTGGAGCAGAAGTTCCCTGTCAGCCCGTGGTGAGAGGGCAGGATGTGCCCCTGCAGTCACGGAGGGTCATCGGGGAGCAGAAATCCCCCTGCAGCCTGGGGAGGGCCCCACACCAGAGCAGACAGCTGTGCTCGAAGAGCCTGTGACTCTGTGGGAAGCCCAGGCTGGAGCAGGCTGCTCCTGAAAGAATGCACCCCCATGGATGGGACCCATGCTGGAGCAGCCTGTGAAGAACTGCAGCCCGTGGGAAGGACTCATGCCAGGGAGGTTTGTGGAGAACTGTCTCTTGTGAGAGGGACCTCACACTGGAGCAGGAGCAGAGTGTGAGGAGTTCTCCCCCTGAGGAGGAAGGAACAGCAGAAACAAGCTGTGATGGACTGACCACAACCTCCATTCCCCATCTCTCTGTGCTGCTTAGGGGGAGGAGGTAGAAAAATGGGGAGCAAAGCCGAGCATGGGAAGAAGGGAGGGGTGGGGGGAAAGTGTTTTAAGATTTGATTTTATTTCTCACTATTCTACTCTGATTTGATTAGTAACAAATCGATTTTTCTCTCCCAAGACAAGACTGTTTTGCCTGTGACTATAACTGATGAACGATCCCTCCCTGTCCTTGTCTCAACCCATGTGCCTTTGCTTATATTTTCTCCTCCCCATCCCACCTGGGGGAGAAGGAAGAAAGAGGCCAGCTGCTGTCAGTTTCTAGCTTGGCCTAAACCCTAACAATACTGTTTAAAGGTTATAAAATAGCAAACAACAAGTGAGGGAAGGTGGAAGAATGGAGGAAGTGTCAAATACACTTTGAACATTTCTTCCTCCTCTTTCACCTGTAACAGAAAAAAACCAAACACTCATCCTAGAGGAGAAATAACAAAACTTTAAAATACTGACAGGTGGACAGAGCTATGTTAAAACACCTGCTTTTAAGATGAAGCAGTTCCATTCTAGCTTTTATTATTTTCCACATTCCACGTTACCCAATTCTATGAAGCGTTTAAAGTATAAAAGCATCAACTGAAATGAATGTCCAATCCAACCTACAGGCCTGAAGCTCAAATGCACGCACGAGTAGGAAACACACAGCTAGGATTAAAGCAGCAAAACAGATAAGGATCTTTACAGTAGTACTGTATTAATGCAATACAGCTGGCATTCCAGTGACATTGTGCTGAAAAAGTTAATGAGCACAGAGATTTTCTTCCAGATTTTAAAAACAAGTTCACACAGGAGGGTTCTACCTGTGGTTCAAGATGAACTGGAAGATATCATGAGAACATACACCTTACATAATATGTAATTGTGAGAGGACTTAACACCCCTATTTTGCAATGCACATACATAACGTTACTTGCATGTTATTCACGTCAAACCCCTCACTGAATTACACTCCATACACAGGTCTCAATGATCTCTAAATTCTCAGCAAGTTATTAGCACTTTGCTTTGACTAGTACCAAGATGCCAACTGTGGCACTCCTGCTCTAGAAAGTTTGTAATTAGCAAAAAAGTGTTCTGACATCAGCATCTAAATGATTGAGAAGTTCAGACTTTTAGCAGGAAGGCAACAGAATACTACAGTTAAAAACACAATACCTATGCACTGCAACAGTAAGACATTAGACATATACAGGACTCTTCTGAACAGCATTATAATAGAAATCAACTCCTGTTAATTTTTCTTTTTCTGGGTAAGACAGATGGACATAGTAAATGGTACTGATTTTAGACTAAAAACCAATACATACATACACTGCCGTGACAGTCTGTACAAGAGAGTTAATTTGAGAAACGTCAGCTTGACATGTCAGAAAGAGTCAACCTCTATCTCAGTGCTTCCTGTCATTTGACTTGTGATGACTCTCAAAGGCCCCACGCAAGATGGAGGTGGCATTCCACAGGGTGCTATACAGATGTACATTTTTTGCCCCAGAGTGCTAATTATCCTGACAGAAGACTGACAGAGGGCTGGTTTCTTCGGAGGGGAAGGCAAGGTAGTAGGAGGAAGAGCAAAAAGCAGGCATGTAGGGATGGGGAAAGATGAAGAAGCAGTTCCAAGCTGTTTCCCTCAGTTAAGCAAATAGCTGCCAGGATTAGCCAATATATTGCTGCTCTATGTCCTGCAGTCACAACAAGAAAAAGTAACTACAGGGCTGCTTGGTCCACACTAAGCTACATTAAATGGATACTTCCCTATATGTTTGCGCTTTATGTGTAAACATGGACTTTTCAGTTAGTTTCATCTCAGTTACAGGGAGCAAATAAGCATATTTCTTGCACATCACTGGCTGACTCTTTCAGATGTACAGAAACAAGCCTCAAATAAGAATTCTGAATTTCTCTCATGCTACAGTTTTTTGACATACCTTTTTCATGGCATGATCTAGAAACGCTCCTATCCTTGCCTGTGTAAGAGTCTGATTGTTGATACGAGAATGCAAGACCTAGACAACAAAGATTTTAATTATTTTTTTTTAACAACTGAAGTAACTTTATATCTACGTGGGTCATTCAAGTCTCACTTCTCTAAGTAGTAAAGGTGCGGAAAAAAGCCCTTCCATTTAGTAAAGGAGGGGGTGGGGAAGCAAAAATATTCTAAATAGATGATGTGAACATGTAACAATTAAAGCAGCCAATCTCCAGAAAGCAATATGAAGGACTAATATCAGCGTAAAGTTATCAACTTGGTACAATACAATAGTTACTGGAAACCCCAAGATGAAGAATCATGTCAAGTGGTTGTCAGAAGCTTTCAAAGAAAGCAGTAATTTTAAATAGTAAATTAAATTTCCTCTTCTGTGTGCTTTTGGTAAGCATGTGAAAGAAGTCAGACAACAAGTCTTATGCTGAGTAACAAGTTCTCCCTTTCTCCAGCCCTATCAGAAAGCACTTGCTCCCCTTTTTTGGAAGTACTGATGGGCTTGTGTAATCAAGTAATCTTTTAAATATCAGAACCTTTCATGTTCTGAGTAAGATTTTTAAGACAATAAAGAGTAGAACTTTAAAACAGAAGAGAACCAATGAGCAAATACGATTCTTACTTGTGTTGCTTGATCATCTGGCATCTTGAATTTCAAATCTAGATCACTGTCTAGTTCCTTGACCAGTATGTTTAGAGATTCGTTGTTACGAGCATCAGTAATGGAAGAACAGTCTGGTGCCTGGGCTTCTCCATGCCCAACAGTATCTCCTGGCATACTCAGGATTGGATGCACTCTAGCAATAAGAACCGAGAAAAATTAGTAACATGTGCTGCCTGCCACTAATATATAAACATAAAAATCAGCTACATATCAACTGACAAGTCTCATACTGTAGACTACCACGAGACATGATCTGCAAAACTAGGAGGGTTCAAGGACCACCCTTCCCTTGAAAACACCAATAAATAAGGCCTTTACTTTCCATTTTTAAGCACAGAATACCTGTAAATAATAGACAATGCAGTAGAGATAAGACACAGAAGGTTGTCATGTTAACAAGGATTGTATGAAGTTTAGCACTAAATAGATAAATGAAAGAAAATGCTGAAGTTTAAGCCAAAGTTTCATTTCAAAAACATCAAGAGGTAGCCAAATCATTTGGGAAGAACATTCTAAGTCAAATACTTTTTTTTTTTCTTCTCCAAAGGAAGCTTCAGGACATTTGTGGATGGGAACCTTTGCTTTACCACTTGCTTCATACTAGAAGTATACAGATTAGGAGAAGAAAGCTTTCTAACTATCACTGTTATAATGCTAAGTGAGTAGGAAATGAAATTACATTGATCGATATAAGGTAGATATTGCAGCATAGACACATTTCTTTTATCCTATGTAATAACAAATATTGCTATCTATTCCATGACTATGCTGGTTTTCTGCCTTTGTCCCAAAGGAATGAGCTAGGGCTCTCCACTCCTAATACTTTTTTAGTATTTTCTGATCTTCACAGTTTTCTGTTATAAATAAAGCTAAGAGGATGCATGCAATGTACAACAGTTAATTGTAGTTATTAAATAGATACTCATCTCATTCTCTCTCTAGAAGCCATTCAGACTTGTGTTTAAATCCACATTCTTTTAGTAATACTGTAGATATTTCATGTATACACCTTGTACTAACAGTCAGGGAAGAATCACCATGAAATTGGATCTGACTGTTACAGTTACAGCAAAGATGACAATGAAGGAAAACATCCCTCCTGCTGTGGAACAGCCAGAGAAAGGGTCCAAACTCATCTGCGCTCCTGATTATTAACTGCATCCATCCTCTCCAGAAAGTAAATGGTCATTAAAGACATTAGGGTGAAAATTAAGTATATTTATTTAAAAAAAAAAAAAAAATCAACACTTGCCTGAATCCCCTATTTTCTGGAGGCAGGAAGTAAGTTGGCAGTTCTTCTGGATCAGGAATTTTGGGGAAAGATTTTATGCACTCTGATCGCTGAGGCCAAAGAATATGCTGTTTGTCCTAAGGGGTAAAGGAATTATTTTTTATTATCAACATTTTTAATATTCTAATTAAAACTGTAGCCCAAATGCTAGGAAGGACAAGGTTCACTCTTTCACAACTCCTCTTTGAAAGGCCAAAGCTTATCCCCTTCACTCACTCTATTGGATTCTACACTCCACACTGAAACGATGGAACGAGCAACAGGGGAAGACTGCAAGGACTGGCTGTGCTCGCTTTGGTTTGCGTGAAGATCCAAATTCACAGATGTCATACTAGAAGTTGAAGAGTCTTCACCGAACTAGAAACAACAGAAAAACAGTATTTAATATGGAAAAGAGATGGTGTATTACTGGTGGAGTTTCTTCATGTTACTTTTTTCCCCTCATCTTTTATGTAGCTAAGCCTTACTGATGAGTTGAAATTCAGGCAGCAAAAAAAAGGCAGTTTAAGCCTCTTGATCCACTCACACCATGGGAAAGTAATATTCATGTTGTAAATAAGTCCACAATGAGAGCACACATGCAAATCTCCACAAAAATGCTAAAAAAGATACCAAGCAAACATTTCTAATAGACTACAAACAAAATCTACATACCTAGACTACATAGCTGTAGTTCAAGTCAGAGTTACTAAGACTCATGGCTTGCAAAATTCTTTTGAGAATATGAATTTATAATTACTATAATAGGAAGAACATCCAAGAAGAAAACATAGCATAAGTTAAAATACTTATTCTTATTTCTTACACTTACGGGGTGTAAGAGTTAAGGGGAAACTCCAGAGCACATTCCACATTACGAAGTAAGTGAAACTATAATCTTTATCTGTAGTTCTATCACAGCAGCAGTGATGCTTGGGTGGCTTTTGTTCTGGATTTTCTGCTTCCTGCTTCTAAAACTTCTAAATACTGCTGTCTCAGATTTTCTTGGTACACTGTCTAATTCAAGGTATACAATAAGCAAATACTCACAAAACTAAGGAAATAAGGGCTAACACCTTATTTCCAGGCTACAAAAGTACTCACTAGATTCAACACCACTGAGTTCTGTTCTTCCGTTTGTTAATTGCTTATGGCAATTTTATGCTCCTTCTGGTAGGAAAAAAGATTAAATTGGAAGGAGCATGCAAAAATTGCGTAGCTTGAGTCATATGACAGTGTAATATAAGAAATTATGATCAATTTTAAGGCTGTAGAGATAAATGATTGATACAGTATTATTTTAAACACACTTTCAAGGTGTTATATTGGTATAGCCTTTCCATTAAAGAGTAATTCTTGTTCCATGTACCACACATACATTAGCAAACTAACTCCTTATAAAACCTTTGCCTCTTCATTAACATTAGCTGCCTAATGCTTTTTCTTGTCCTTTCTGAAGGAAACTAAATTGGCAAATTAAACATGTTACGCTCCTGGTGGCATGCCTGAAATGTAGTATATTTATCTAATAGAAAGCTGTAATTCCTCAAGTGAGGATTCGTGTACTTCCTAGATATAAATACTTGGCTGTTCTATGCAGGTTGAAAAAGCAAGGGAGTCAATATTGAAGTGGCTCGTATCTCATAAGAAACCAAGACTTTGGAATAAAGTTCTTCAATTCAAATCATTCTAATAGTTCTCTTTTTGAAGTCAAACAAAGCCTTATACAATAAGCCCTCTCAATTTCTGTAACTGTATTACTAGCAAAAGAAACTAGCATTAAATACTTCACACTCTGGAAAGCAGACTAAATGATTTCTCACTATAATTACCACACCCAAAAGGTATCCCCTTTGTCAAGCCTCAAAAAAATTGAACTATTTTCCTAGTAAGGGAAATAGGATGAAAGTTAAAGCAGGGGTATCAATTCACAGACAAACCTGAACATATTCCACATTTTCAAAAATGTCTCCACGGTGATAACGAACAGGCTGGTCCCACTGGCAGTGCAAGCTATGCTGCTGGTTGCCCAGTCTACAAATCTGATGGTTCCCTGCAGAGCACAAAACGGTTTTTTTCTACTATGTAAGTGAGATTCCTGAAGAGACGAAGACAGCAGTCAAACCTCTTACCCTCCCCCCCCCCCCGATTTGGTCAATCCTGCTGATTTATAAATCAGCACAGAGGAAACTCTCTCATCGAAAGACTTGAAAAAAACCCTGTTCCAGAATAGGAAACCCATCCCTTGTTTTAATAAGCAAATCACAACAGCCACTCAGGGCCATCTTTATATATAAAGTAGTTCTGTCCTGACATTAATCTGAATAGGCGCAATTCTTCATTGCTATAATGAGCATGAACTCTAAAAGGCTGTACCTAATTGAGCTTCTTTTGCCATCTGTGTCTCATGAATGATGTTCCTCAAGATTTGTTCTTCCTGGATGAGCTTGTACTTGTCTAAAACATCTTGTTGCCTAAGGTAATGGTCATGCTGCTTCTGGTATTCCTTCAATTCATTTAATGTTCGTTGAAGTGATCTTGAAAATTCAACAGTGGAGAATTTACTTTGAATGCTTTTTAAAATATTACCTTTTCCTACCGCATTGTGCATTTTCAATACTTTCTTACAAGTATTCCTAGGAATAGTTTTATTGCATAGTCAACGAAATGTAGAAAGTTGAAGATCATTATTCTATTTAAAATGTAAATAATTGCTGCAACAGAACAATAAAAGTGAGATTGTCTGAACTGCCACTATGATGCTTCTTTAGTTACCTATGCTGGGCTTCCAATTTTTGCTCGAGTTTTTGTTGACATAGGACAGCATGCTTCCTTTTTACAGCTTGCTCAAACCCTGGTTTGGCCTGCAGAGCATGATCATAACACAGGACTGAATGGTTATACTCTCCAAGCATCTGAAGAATGACCGAGAGAGAGAAAATTAGCCAACGTGCAGGTAACATTTAATAAAAAATACTCAATTTACAAAGAAGTCATTAACTCAGATTTTTATTTTTGGTAACAAGCAGCCTGTTATTTCTGAAACTCAAGCCTCTATATAAGCTAAGGAGAGGCTGCCAGAGAATTTCCTTGGGATTTCCTTTGCTGAAAGACAGACTTTTCGACAAAAATAATCTCGACAGAATCTTAATCATTAAGTGCGGAACGCAAGTGGAACACAAGATACATTGTAAAGAAGTAAAGTATTGTAAGTCAAGCAAGAGTTCAAATAATATTTGGTTTTCTACAAGTCTCCGAGAACAAAGATAGTATTTACTGCGTATATATTTCCCAGGGTGTAATAGCTGGTAAAGAAGTCACTGTAATCCAGAGCTGCATGGACCACAATAGCTGCATCTGCAGAGAAGTGAGCCCGGTGCAGAATATTTGCCAAATTTACCAGTGCAATATCTTTATTTTGCCTAAAAGAAGAAAAGAAAATGGAAAAAAAAAAAGACATCAAAAGAAGGTCAGACTGTGTAAGAATCATGCATAAGGAAACATTAATTCTTCAGTCACATATTAAAGATGTAATTTGATAGGAAAATGTCTAAATTATAGGTACGCCTAGTATAGCACCTGAAGACTAAGAACAAAAACCATGGATTATTCCTTTGGACACAGTCTTAGAAACTAAAACCCATTTACTAATTACAATATCTAGAATAGCAGTCTGAAAAGAAGTCTTTATTAGCAATTCTTACCTTGAAGAAAAGTGAAGGGCACGCATGGCACATTCTACCACTTGGTATGGCTTATTCTTTATTCGCCAGTAAAAAGAAGCCATATTATAGAGTACCCAGGAAGAAGAGTTCTGCAGTAAAGAGAAACACATGAACTGTACCAACTACTGAGACATGAACTGAAAGGTTAATCGGGGCTTTAATTACTATGAGATGGAAAGCTGAGCACCAGACCTGCTCTAAGTTATCCTCTTCCTCTGAAATAGTGCCATTTGGCAAGAGTTGTGAATGTTAAGGAAGAATGAACCAGCATATAAATGTATTAAAGAAACAGAACTTCTGCCTTTCAGACAGGTAGAAGTTCAAAATGAGACTAAAGGAGAATTACAGTAGTTTACGCATCAGCAGCTTATTTGGAGTTCAATGACAGTTTTCATATTTTGCAGGAAGGCATTTAATAAAAATCATACACATTTCAGTACTATTGTTTCTTCTTTGTTCTTTAAGTACCTGCATATTTGTTTAAAAGCTCTCATGACCTTGACAGAACAATGACGGTGGCTTGCCAGTCCACTCAAATATGTAAGTCATTAAAGATTATGGTAAAGATCTATTTACTGGCTTTGCTGATGCCTTCTCCTACCTCTGCTTGCCTAGCAGAAAATGGTTATAGTCTGGCTTTTGTAACTGACACGTAAACCAAAAAATAAATGTGCAAAACTAGTACTGGATCTGATTGCATGTACCAGGCATATCTAATCTTGAGGGCATTCTAGCACTCTTTCTGTGCATACAACAAAGTTACAGTTTCATACCTTCATTAGCCCGTCATAAATACGATGACCTATTTCCTCTATACTTCTTCCCAGCCTCCGTGATAAGTATGTGAAGATTGGATCTTCTTTAGGTAACAAGGGTGCGGAAAGATTAACTCTTTCTTGGACACCCTAAAATAAAATTGAACATTTGTATTTGTGGACACTTTAACGAAAAGTAGAGAAATAAAGGCAAGAGCATGACACCCAGAAAAATTTACTGCTTGGTTATGTTACAACTCCTATCATACTTTTCTATCATGATCTTAGGGACTTGACAGGATAATGTCACCTTTGAAAGATGAATAATCTGGCCAAAAGCAGCCTCTGCTTGTGAATGCTACAGGAGAAAAATTAATTTCTGGTAGCCCTGTGTATCTGGCAGCTATTGATTTCACTAGTGACCACTGAAGCACTTCACTCACGTTTGTCAGGTTACATGCACACTATGAAAGTGTCCCTACCTCTCTTCCTCCCCCAAAAACATACATACTCGTTTCAAAAGTACATCCAGAGTCAGGAACCGAGCTAGATAACTTCAGTTCCTGTTTTGTTCTTAAGAAAATCCTTATTTGTAGATAAAAATATATTTTAAAGACTTGTATTAAGATAAATACCAAGATATAAGCAATAAAACTGCATCTGCATTAGAAAATACGCTCATAATACTGTTGTTTTTTCACCATACTTCCACTGTAACCTTTCTAAAGCAGATGAACTGTGTACTAGTGAAGAAAACAATTATCTCATCCTCTGAGTTAGGGCTTGGCATCTGAATACCAAAGAGACAGTCAAGTATGTTAAGAGCTACCAACAAGCCTGCAAACAATTTTCTGATCCTGAATCTTCACAGAGTTTTACGACCCCGTTCAGCATTCTCCAATTTTCAACTGCAACAATTCACAAGTCAGAAGCATCTCCAACATCCATTTTACTAATGAAATGTGTGTTATGAAAACGAAATAATCCATTTTCCCAAAACTGTTTTCTAAAATAAGGTAAACAATACCATAAGAGAAACAGGATCTGTGTAACTGATGGAACTGTCCTCCTACAGGCAAGTACTTTAATCGGGACACTATTGTGGTTTTAAAAAAGTCTGAAACACTCTTGAAAGAGTACAATACCTTTCAACCTTAACTGAGAACTGCCAGTAAGAGTTTTCTATTCTTTCTCCTGATGGGGAAAAAAACCTCATACTTGCATTTGCTCACTTACCCTTAAGTGCTGAAAAGCATGAATGCTGTATGGAAGATCTAGAACTTTTGTACAGTCTGGCTGCTGCAGGTCTGGAGGCACTGGAGACTTTGTGTCCATATAGTCTTCAGGGCTGAGGACATAACAACATAACACAGCAGACTCCAGATTAAAATACTGCTAAAGTTTAAGAGACAGTACCCTAGTTGACAGACAGTATTCCAATTTGACCATTACAAAAATCCTGTGTTTAAACACATTAGACCATTTCTGATGCCTTCCCAGATTTTAGTTGTACCAGGATGTCATCGCTGTGGGATAAAATAAATAAATTTCTGTCTGCTTTACAGAAAACATCAACATTTGGATAGCTTCCAAAATGTATCAGCATCAATCTAGTGTATCACTACTATGATTAATGATCTATCTGCCAGGAAAATGGCAATGCATGCAGATTAGAAGATTCTTCAAGTGAAACAAACAAATCCCAGGTATTAGCAAGAAGCCCAATGAAGGTATCTGAGGATAAAATTAATCTTTTCTCACTTCAAGTACTCATCTGATTAAAACTAGAAAATAAAACCAGAAAACCAAAACAGTCAGCCCTGAAGATGAATTACCAATGAAGCTGAATGTCAAGCAGACTGTCCACACATCCTTTATTTGCTAAACACAGCAATACAGTATGACCAGAAGGTTGAACAGCTTGGTAATCAACACAATTTCATTCAAATTTAAGTCAAGACAGTTCCCACTGCAAGAAGTGTATCCAGCTCAAAATACCCAAAGCACACTCAAGCAAATTCAACCCTCTTCTATATGATGCACTTCAGTTTAATTCACGTGTCTGGTCATATCAGTGCAGAGTTACAATGGTAGAACTGACTGGGAGGCTGGGAATAGAATGGAGGGTAGGGCTAACATGGACAGTTTGGTGGAGACAGCATTGATGTGCTGAACCCTTTCACAATTAGTGGCAGAAGTTCTTTCAATTTTTTTTCACACTAACACAAAATAAAAGAACTGTCATATAAAAAAAGAGTCAGTGATAGTATTTTTCTTTTAAACTGTATTTAGTTGTTTTGTTGATTCTTTCATTCAGTAAAAATCTTAAAACATAATGCATGTTTTTACCGGATATCTTTGCTCTCTAAGGTGATGTACGTGCCATCGTATAGATCTAGGTCCCCCAAGGGCACCTTTGCTTTAATGCAGTCTGGATCCTCTTTATTATGCCTTTGTTCCAGCCCTGTGTCTCTGTCCTCATTTTCCTCTATGTGAATCTTCTGAGCAACTAACTGTTTCTGTAGGAATTAAAAAAAAAGGAAAACAGAAAAATGTATACTGATGAAAGCAAACTTTATAGTTGCTGGGAGTTGAACAGTCCAACTTTCTCCTTAAAGCAAAGTCCATTTGAAGGAAATCTGAAACGCACTCTTCAAGTTTCGGGAATATTTCCCTATATTTTATCACATCTGTAGGACATTTTTTTGATTTAGATGGAATACAAATACTTTCATTAGAGATACTATAACTTGAACACGTCCTTATTTCTCTTGCTGTACCTAAAAAGAGGGCTAATATTCCAAATTCATGGTAGGCCATTCAGAAAAAGAAGAAATATTTGTTAATTGTATGTCAACCTTTCCATATTCAGACCCTTTTCCTCCGCTATAAGACCTCATGGAAACAGTATCAAACAAAATGATCTTCTTAACCATTCAGCATGCTAAGTACAACAGAGGTGGCATGCTAATGCAAGAATTGAGGCTAAGAATAATTTCTATAGCTCAGCTTATGATATGTCTTAGGAGATATAGAATCATAGAATGGTTAGGTTTGGAAGGGACCTTAAAGACCGCCTAGTTCCAACCCCGCTGCCATGGGCAGGGACACCTTCCACTAGACCAGGTTGCTCGCTAGACCAGGTTTACCTTTCACCCTATAAAGCTCACAGGTGTTGATTACTAAAAGCAGTCAATGGACAAGTGATCAGTCCCAACACAGTAAGCTGTACTGAATTCCCAACCTAGATCTGCAAATAGAAAACCCATTAAATATCATAAGGATTTGTGTATGTGGCATGAGAAGAAAACTTGCAATTTTTATTTTAGCCATATGCATACACATAACACACTACTAAGCAATATTAGAGATCTACAGTAGTAGCACCTTGCACAAGACCTTACAATAGATAACTTCTGCTGGAAGTCATTTGTATGCCACAAATTGTACATCAGTCATTTCCAAACCCACAACCCTTGTCCTGAAAAGTTTACAATTGTTGTTTCTTCCATAGGTAAAACGCCTGTTACCACAAAACTGAGTATACCTCGGTGAGAAAGACTGGCTGAATACAGTCACGTAAGGGGCAGTCCTGCGGTTTTAACTCCCTTCCGCTTCTCCCATTCAGCTAAAGCTACCTCTGGTGCTTATCTAACTTCCCAGTTAGCTAGTTATGCTAATCTGACAAAACAAAGCTGGCACAAGAGAAAGAAATGCATGGCCAGAAGAAGGCTGCAAGCCTGCCCAGCCCGTATCGTATTTAAACTTTAGTTTAAGTCATCAGTTTGAAGTTCATTAAAGACCTTTTGAGAAGGATGTTTTCAGACCCTTTTTCAATAATAAATGGGTTTGAAGAAAAAGAGGTGACCTACTCTCTGATGTGTCCTAGAAGAAGCAATGGAAAGTACGGCCTGACAAACCCAGAGAGGAGCACAGGGAAATTCATGGCCTACAGGCTGTACCCTAAATAGCACCTCTAACAAGTCTAATACAACACTTCCACAAATAGTTCTGGAATATAGTAGTCAGCTACAGAATCCAATACCTAAATGACTTTAAATGACTTAAAAATGTTAGAATTTATGGATAACAACAGGGAAAGATGCAGCTGGGGACAATAATAACTAGTTGAGAAAACTTGAGACAAAAAAATTCTTGAGATCTGAAGAATTCATTCTTCCACTGAAGCACAATTATGCCAATAATGACTTCTGTTCCCCATCTAAATCACTATAAACCTTATGAAAAAATTTCTGTATTTTCAGAATTTGGTTAGTACTTAACGTTATGTTTTACCTCCAGTTCTTTGAGGTAGTTAACTGTTGTTTCTTGTCTCATTAGTATTACCAAATCATGTGGGTTCCTCAAGTTCATTGGTGAATCCACCTGAAAGACATTTCAACAGTCCATAAGGTAAGACATTCTCCTAATTAGAGAAATTTTAAACCACAAGAAGTTATATTAATTCAACTATAGTTTGTCTGGTCAGAGGTTTTCTGTCCACCCAGCATTCACAGTATGTCCATATTTTAAATCTGTACTTCAAACAACATTGTGATTTGAGAATCCAATTCAAACCATGCTTTAATTTTAAACTTATTTCAGTTTATTTGGACATGCAAATTCTGAACATAAAGGACAATTAAATATCTCACAAAAAAAAACCCCGAAGAGTAACTACTGCTGAACTACTAGTTGCTTCAAATTGCAGTCACAAAAGCCTATTTTCATTTATAGCTTTAAACTTCCCCATCATGTCCCTCAATAAGCATAAAGCTTCAAGTCAACTCCTCCATGCAACAAATCTAACACACCAGTCTGTTGTTCAGATTTATTGCCTTCAGGATTAAGTAAATGAACAAAATCAAGAGGTAAGCAGACAAAGACTGAAAACTCTTACAGAAGACCATGCTGCAGCTTCCACAGCTATGCACAGGAGTCGGGAGCTCAATGAAGAGTGACATTATGGACAAGTCACAGACAAGAGTGGTGACACGCCAAACGTTTACTCGTCCCTAACTGGGCTCAGTAAGCTATGGCACTTCACAGCTGAAATACCTGTGCTGGTTTTAGTCAGGATAGAGTTTATTTTCTTCACAGTAGCTGGTATGAGGCTGTTTTGGATTTGCCCTGAGAAGAGTACTGATAACACTGGTGGGTTTTAGCTGGTGCCAAGGAGTGTTTGAATCAATTCAAGGACTTGTTCAGCTTCTCGTACTGCATCTGTGTTCCCAACTTCCTCACTACAAGCAATGGGACACACACACAGTTCAAACAGCTAACCCAAACGAACCAAAGGAGTATTTCATTCCGCTGAATGTCATGCTCAGTATACAAGCCAGGGTGGGCCAGGAGGCCATAGCTCATTTGTTCCTTCGGTAGTTAGTCAGTTAGGTGCTGGGCCAGTTGGCTTTCTTGGTCGCTCTCTTACTCGTGGGACTCACTTGGACTCTGGTCTGATCTCTCTCTCTCGGGCTCAATCAGATTCTGCTGTAATCGGGCTCAGGCTCTCTAGCTCTGACTCTTGCTACTCGGGACCTGACTGTTTATCGGCTGGCAGGTGCTGAGCAGTTGTATCACATGTTTTATTTTCCATTATTTTCATTATTCATTATTATTCTTAGTATTATTAGTATTGTTAATATTATTAGTATCACAATTTTATTTATTTATATTCAATTATTAAATTGTTCTTATCTCAATCCACGAGTTTCCTTGTCTTTTCCTCCGATTCTCCTCCTCCACTGGAGAGGGAGGAAGTGAGTGAGTGACTGTGTGGTACCTAATTGCTGGCTGCAGTTAAACCACGACAACACCCCAGCCGTATCCTCACACCAAATCTATTCTACTGCTGGACTGGGTGGGGGAAAGTCACTACAGTCAAGAAGGCAGTGTGCGGGCAACTGAGCTGATTCAAAGGCTCAACACAGCTGAAAGGCTTACTTCCAGCCTTCCAGCACCGTTTCCTCCACTGTCAGTGAGATGCCAGTTAGTCCTGCATGCCAGCTCTGGTGTCCACAAGACTCTCTTGTGCATTATCCCAAACTCAATAGTTAAAACAGGATGTAATCCCCTATTAGTTGCTTCATCTGAACAGAAGCAAAGAAATGGACAGCAGTATGTGATGACAAGATGAGAGGAAGAAGGGTGACAAGGATAGCAACATCTTCCGTTCTTAACATAACGACTGTTATGGTAGGCGATCTACACCAAGATGTTCCTGGATCTGCTCAGTTTCCATTCAAGCTTTCAGGATACAGAACTACCTACTGCATGATGATGTAAGCAGTACCTGTGTGTTAGTGCCGATACTTCTACCTGGGCTGCCCACCCCCATGAAATCTGTCCAAACTCGGTGACAGTATGATTTAATGGAAAAGTTTGCCACATATATAAGTGCAAGAGCCCCAGCTCTGTGTTTTTTATCAACTTGCCAAACAACTGGGACATGTTTCTGAGACTCTCTGTTGCTGCAGAGAACTGCATCTCCAGGAGGACAACCGCAAATTTCATGGTCATTTTAATGTGCCCTGCCAACAGATTGAGCCTTAGGCCATGTTTTCTTGGCTGTGAGTCAGATAAGAAGTTCAAATGTACTTTCTTTGGATTGCTGATTCTGAAGTCCACATTCCCTGCAAGCTTCCCTACTGAGTAAGGATCCTATCCTCTAAAATGAAAACATTTGTTCCTCTTACCCTCCCTCACCTCAAGAAAACCCTAAGGGCGGCTTTAGCTAAATTGGGCTAAGCATTCCTTTCCAAGTAAAAAGCTGAATTGCTTCTTTGACTATGGAGCCATTTTGGTGGATGGCTCCCTACTTACACATAACTCACTTTCTGCCTTGGCAAATTAATTCTCATATTACCAGATGAATAGAAAATAATAGGTGCTACTGAGCCCAGTTAAGTTTTACACAGTGAATTTGGAGATTATGGATTTCACTGTTGCCAATAAGGAGTGACCAAGTATCCACAATGATCCAGAGAACCACAGAAAAGATGGTATCAAAAACAACGACGATGTTGTTAGTAGAAGTATTAAAGTCTACAGCATTTTACTTACAGTCACACTTCTTAGTTCCTCCTATGGGCCCCACCTCACTTGGAACTGGTTGCACACAAAACAAGTTATGTACTGAACACAATACTTGTTCATGACTCATTTGCTAAAGAAACTGCTGTGGTATGTTTAAGCGAATGAGAGATGAATTTGCAAAGAAAATAAGGGAAAGTTTCACTGTGTTTAAAGCACTTGATCGCCCATTCCAAAATAGCTCTGTTCCCCTGACAGCTGCTTGCATGCTACACAGCCACTGAGAGCAAAGTCAACTATCAGCTTCACTTTCAATGGCAAACTGCATCAGGGAGCGATTTTTTGCATAGTTATGCAGGCACCACCCTTTAGAAAGCCTGATTCTGAAAGATGAAGGATCTTGGCTTACCGTTCATTAATAAACAGAATTATGTTCTGTTTTTAATTTTCGACAAAACAGTCTCATGAGGGTTAGGTCTGAAATTAGCGTTTGGGAATTTGGAGCGCTTATGTCACCAATCCAGCATGCCCCAGCTGACAGGAAAGCAACGCGACAAGCACCAAATTCCTATCAACTATTACCTGGCAGCAGAAATCAAAGTGACAACAACCACTGAACAGCAATGTTGCTGAATTAATTCAAAAGGTTATGTTAATCCACCAGGAAGTCACCTCAAGTTAAGCAGCATGCATGATATTCTTTGGTCTTCAGATTTTCACTTCCAGATCTGACTTCAGTTTGTTACCACAAATCAACAATTTCTAATAGCAGTAAAACCCTTCAAACTAGTAGAAAGTTAGTACCTTAGCAGTCATTACCTCTGTAACACCAATGCAGTGCATAAACAAAAATCTCTAAAGACAAAACCTCAGCAGCAAATCCAACCTTACATTTATTTACATTTGATCATTTCTGACACTGAAAGTCCAAAACTTCTATTACAAGAAATTATCAGAGTAAAGACTATTATTAGCTCCTAATAATAAAAAAATCCAGTTTAGGTGCAATAATTCCTAAAAAAAAAAAAAAAATTGGAATGGAAAAATTAAGCTGCTACACTGGACAATCATGCAAGGTTTGCAGAGGAAACTTGAGCTAGTACACTGAGTGCATTCAGAGCACTTTGGGCAGCTTGTAAAAGTGAGCCAAATATACTGCATCAGTTCTTAAACTCCTCAGTTTATACATATACAGCATGAAGTCATTACAAAATAAAACTGAGGAGATAAAAAAGCACTCAGATCTACAGAAAAAAATGCTGTGTTACACAAAGCAAAACAGATTCTTCACTGAAAACCACAGGAGATCTTACAGTATCATGCCTGCAAATGAGGAAAATAATGCCAACTTGGCCCTCAACAGGCATCAGTTTGCAGGACGGTTGTGCTCAAACTCAGGAATTTTATAGAATTTAAAGCACAATTTCCTGATCTGCTTAGGTTGTTCCAAAATATTACCTTGCTGCCAAGTAGGGGAATCCTCCCTTTCCTTACTACCTGTAACTTAGAGCTCCACGGAGAAACAGGCCAGCCAATTCAGCTGCAAAATAACCCAAAAGATTAAACAGGTAGTTTTCAGTCAGATCAGCAGCTAGTCTGAGTTGACCTCAGATGAGCACTTCATCACCCCCTCACCACAGTGACAGCCTCGTGGCTCTCTAACTGCAACCTGTTCCAGCCAGCAATACTGTCAAGACTTCTTGAAAATTATACCCTGAATAAAAACCTAAGACATGCCAGAACTTTCCTGTGGGCTGCTCCTTAGTAAATTTCAAAGGGACAACAACACACTCAAAGGTGCGGAAAAGCCCTCCGAGGTTCTCTCGCCTGTCAAATAATTCTTTAGTCAGAAATACAACAGTCCACCTAAATACTACAGATGCTTCAGCCTTTCATGCAAAGTCTGTTGTGCCTCATCGTCTGGTTGGGGAAGTCAGAAAAGCAAAAACCAGACAGATATTGTGATTTAGCTGCAAGATGTAAGCAACTCCCCACAAGACTCTGCCGGAATGAAACAGAACAGGCATCAACCTGCAGAGCACCTACGGCCTTGCGGTAGGGAAAATGGAGACTTCTGCACCAAAACAGACGCTTGTTCCAACTTACTCACTTTTAACCCAAAGCATTAGGCTGATGGCAGAGCACCACATTCATTTACTCATTCTCCCAAGTGCTGGAACTGTGACACTCAAGATGAAGTGCCTGAAATGCAAGAATCTGACTTCAATTCAAACACAGTAAACAAGAAAAAAAAAAGAGTGCTGAAAAGCTTTCCTTGAAACTGATGGCTACTACAGCTCCACTGCACAAACCCTGCCAGTAAACCACTTTTAGAATAAGTGTTCTCTGTT